ACCGATGCAACATCTCTGTGTGCGCGTCCTTGAACCATATAATATTTATATGTTTCTACTATTATGGTATATAGTTTAGGCACTACATATTCGTCCGAGGGACGTTTGTTATAATACGTATTCAAGTCTTGCTAAAAGCAACTTTTTTTAATCTTCCGTTAAATCGGTTCAGTACATAATGTGATTTTAATTACGATTAGATAGTAGGGTTCGCTGTTGACGACGATCATTCCGCTTTTAAATTTTCAAATAAAAATGCACTTCGATTTTCAAATAAATTTTTTMAACTCACATTCAAGGGTTTTACATATGACAYAGCATTAAGTATTAGTATTAATAACATAATAGGTACTATTTTTTCATAAATATGCATTTTATTTAAGAAAAATGCTAAAATATGCATAAAAATTAAAAATGTTCCAAATATGCAAAAATATGCAACATTTAATTTTGCATCGTCCAACACATTTGGTTAAGATTCAACTTTGTAAGTTACCTAGCTATTTTTAATTTAATAAATAAACGTATGCAAACGCATACTATTCCGGGCCCTAATTATTATACTTGTGATGACGCACAGAAATATTAAAGTTACTCCAAAAAAGAATAAATATAAATAGAATAATATATCTTAATTTTACCGATGATCATATGATTATAAAATTTAAAAAAAAATACAATATGCACACAAGTCTCAACCCTTTTAAAATTATTTTATCGCAGCTTAAACGAACGAAACAAACTTCGGTGAAATTAACTAATATAGGTACCTATAGTGAAATCACAACAACTTACGTATATCTATACTATATAATAAAATATCATCGCTACTATAAACACCTAGTACATATCTTGCTTCATATCGTCGTTATTAAAATATTATGTTGACAAGGCGTCGCGTGGGGAAAACATTTCTAGTTATTTTATTTTTTATGCTTCAGAGAACGATAATATTAATGATAAACCAAATAAACAAACGAACCGGCGATGACCTTAAAACGCCGACCAGTTTGAACCGTGGGGAGAGGCTTTCTTCCGGCAGAGCCTAGTCTAACTATAGGTTGTTCCGCGCATATTTCCTATATAATCATATACTATATATTAATTTATAAAATGTTTGTTAGTTCGGATGACAAACGAGTTGCCGCGTTCGTGTAACTGAAGAAGATCGCGCTTGCGGGAAGTGGTTCCCGATAAAAATATTTACCGCGTGCAATATTTCCCACGAAAATAAAGTCTTGACTCTCGTTTAAAAGTCCTCTTCTGATGTGCTAAAAAAAACGCTATTGCTACAGGTTTAGATCTCACTACCTCCGTGGCATATTTAGAGCTTTAATCGTTATACGATTTGGATATATTTAACAGATTTAAATAATGTAGGTATTATTATTAAATTTTAAATACTTTATATATTTATTTAGGTTTCTATATAAACATAATACTATGTTAAGATCACCTTTTATCTCCGTTGTATCCATCCGTCCATTAGTTATCAGTACTTAGTTACGATTGTTGATATTAAGTATTTAATTTTATTATCCGTAGTTACTGTACATAAATTGCACATGKAATCATAATGTATTGCGTTGTACCTATTAAAATAGTCTTAGAAACCGTGAATTTAGAACACACACAGAGCGAACTTTCCTAACTTATTAATTATAATAATATATTATAATATTATATACTTAGGTAAAATTATAACAAATGAGTTTGTCGAACTGGTAATAAAAATCAAAAAAGCAAAATTAAGTACAAAAAATACACGTTGAAAAATTACTTACAGTTTTTCAAACTTTATAATATCATTGAACTTTGTTCAATTTTAGGTTCTAGGTGTAGCAATCCTCATTGATTTTTCAATGCTGTGTGTGTGTGTGTGTGTATGTTTTTTGCGTTTTTATACACGAGTATAAGTTATAGAAATAA